TAAATAAATTAATAATTTAATATATAATGCATAGAAGAGATTTGAAAATTCTATTAAATTATTTAAGAATTTTATTAATTTTGGAGAAAATGATTTTTGTATTCATTTCTTTAAAAAAAATAAAAATAAATAATTTATTAAATGTATAAATTATGAAAAAAAATTGTAAATATTTACCAAAAATATTGAAAGTAGCATTGTCAAATGAAACTTTAAACTTTTCTTCAAAGTTGAGGCATATTTATGTATATTTTTAAAGTAGAAGAATGACAGTGGCTCCTTTTATAAAGTTTGAAAATTTTTGTTAATATTAAGCCTAGTAGTTACAGTGAGCCCAATTGTTGAAGCACTCTAGCAGAATTTGAGAGGTTATAGTGACGTGGGAAATTGACGCGGTTAGTCGGCATTATTGCCACTTTCAAATGTACTTATCCCAATTCTTCGGCTTTTTCGTCCCAAGCAGGACCCCAAACAAAAGTGTTAAAACAGTTCCACTTCCACCTTGATGAGTTTGTTCAAACGTAGCTTTCAGTTTCAAGTTTAAGACAGGAGAAGTACTTTTCATCTTCTTCGTCTTTCTTCTTCTTCTTTTTTTTCTTTTCTTAGCTGAATTTAAATTTGGGGTTTTTTTTTTTTTTTGAAACTAAATTTTTTTTTATTTTGATTATACAATGAAAGATAACAATTTCTCATTCTCTTATTTTACCACACTTATATGTTATACGACTCAAAATCAAAATTTTTTACTTTCAGTAGAAGAAGATAATCACTAAGTTATTTACGTAGTTGACGAAATTTTAAGAATTTGAAGAAATTAAGTTCGCAAGTAAACTCAATATATTTTTGTGTACTTTAATAAGTAAATTTTAAAATCTTCAAATATATATATTAAAAATAATGCTAATTTAAGCTCTATACAAATTAAACTTTAAATTTGTTAATGAAATTGTTAGAACTACAATATTCGATTCAACTTAGCCCACATGCAGCACTTCTAATAAGACCATGAGCTTGTTTGATCTAATCATAGGCTTTTTGAGTAAATGTTGTTTGAGTAGGGTGAGAAACTAAAGTCAAGAAAAGTTTTTGATTTATTTCTTGATTTCGCGTATACAAGGAGCTTGTGTATGGGGTTGTGCATTGAAATATTCTAACTACAAAATCAATTAATCTCATTATAGATTCTTAAATTATTATATACTATTATCGTTAAATTTTAATAGTCTTGGTTTGGTTATTTGGCTTTTTAAATAAGAATTTTAAAAATTTAACATATTATGTAAATAATAATTAAAAACTTTTAATCAAATAAAAATACTTAATAAGAACTAAACATAAGAGTAAAAAAATTTTAATTGTTACTTATATAAGTTGTTAAATTTTTATTTGAAATTTATATCTAAAAATAAAAAAATT